CACACCATATTACATCATATCATATCATATCATATCGCACCACATCATACCATATCATATCAAATAACAATATGAGTACATACATTCTATGAATTAATATGTTTATTTTTTAGAGACAATGTCTGATAGATAAAGGTTGACAACTTACGGATAAGAACATTGTCATCAGTACTCATTAACAAAGAAAATTTCACCCTATCGGGATATACAGAATAATATGTTGGGACATATTTTTTTTCTTAACTCACAATATATGATATAGACAAAAACAATGATATAGACAAAAACCTTTCCCAATATACTTAACAGGTTTATACCTCTATAATTATCAACATTATTAATGTTCCCGCTTTTATGAATTGGAATAATAATTCCAATAGTCCGAGACGATGGAAAATTACCGCTCTCTAAAATAACATTAAAAATCAACTCAAAGTAAGGTAATAAGATATCTTCAGAATATTTAATAGATTCAGGTACAATATCATCAACAACCGCTGCTTTATTTACCTTTAAGTGTTTTATACTATCTATAATTTCTTGTCTGGTAATAGGTGGATCTAGAATATCGTTAGTGAATAGGTCAAAGTCAGTTGGTGTGCTTGTACGTACATTAGTACTCTCGTTGCCAGCACTTACATCCTCCGTTACATCATTGCTAGTTGATATAAACAATTGTTTGAAATGTTCAAACCACTCACGGGTACTGATATCATGTTTAGTAGACTGTTTACCATTCAAGCCTTGAAGGATTGACCAAAACTCTTTAGAATTGATATGGTTTTCTAGTTTTATCTGTTTTTGTTTATAGTACTCTGTTCTTTTCTGCTTACACTTAGCGTTATATAGGTTTCTAACTAAAAGATACTCATCTAAGTGCTGTTTGTCTTTATAAATTCTGAACTGATTTAATTTCCGGCAATGCTCGGCTTTTAAACGCCTACATTCACTATCAAACCATAGGCTGTTCTTACTAAAATATCTATGTGTCAATTTTCATTTCATACCCATTGCAGCTGAGCACAAAGCCTCTGCAATATATTCTATACTCTGATTGATATTACTAAAGGCTGTGTCTTAACATTTTTCGAATAAGTCCTGCACACTATCTGAGAACATATTTTGTCTATACTCATCCGATTTTTCTTCATTCCAAACAAACTTATAACTATGATTCAAATCATCTTTTATTACATCGTATTCCCGCTTGTGTGTTGTAATCAATTTCATCGTGACTGGGAGATGCGTGGACTCTGTGCGAGACTGTATATTGAAGTCAGTACAAGACGAGAACAGACATGATGATGCAATAATATAATCAATTACACTGGCCCCCATTGACCCGAGAAATGTAAAATCTCCAATATTTTTGTCTGCCCCGCAACTCCCATTCATGATATGGATATTCAAAACAGCTCATAATTCTACCAAAGATCGTCCAAATGAATTAACAGTTTTGTCGACGGAGAATCTTGCGAGGTTAAATTGATCTACTTGAAATTTCCAATTTGACGTGTCTGTTTCTATAATGCTGTTTAGTTGTGTTTTAAATTAGCCACTCGTTGAAATTTCGAATCAGTGACATTGACTGCTATGACGTGAGATAAGCCTCCCCCCACTCTCTCTCTCTACAAACACACACGCGCGCGCGTACGCACTCACGCACACACACACATCAGTACTAAACATGGAAACTATGACTTAAAATACCACCAACTAACACCCACCCCCACCCCACACAACACAACTCACACTTGGAGCTATCTATGTTTTGGATGTAATTGTATGGTAAATTATGTTTTTTTCCCCTACAGTGCTGAGAGATGGCCCTAGGAAGAAAGCGAGAATACCGCTCCAGAACAGTACAGGTAGGAAGCATGAGCAAGACACAGCACCAGGTGTCATTAAAGATAATCATCGACTCAGATTATATGACATATGACTGAATAAGATGCAATTATATTCTCTTTCTGAAATATGGTTATTGTCCTGTTACCCAACCTTTCAAAATCTAAACTTGAGGGAAAGTAGTATTTATTAAACTTAGTGTTAAATGTGTGAGAATGGAAAAGTGTCAAAATAACCCAGAGAAACGATATGCCTATTTCATTTTGGGTCAAAGAATTCCTCATAGTAAGATTTTAAAAAGTACCCCTCTATAAGCAGCCGTTTTGACATTAAAACACCCATTCATAAATCGGACTTTTCGTAATGTAGTAAATTGCAAACTAAAGCAAATGATAAAGTATATGTCAGTCGTCTTAACATTTTAATATAAATTTTAACACTTGAAGCATCGCTGCCCTACTTCCACAGAACACTCCATCAAAACTGAAACAGCAAGTGTCTCAAAACGTCTTTAGTTGAGTTATTCCGCATCCCACCGATATTTATTATATTACAAGAGAAAAGGGATACCAATTGAGTTGCCTCCCTTAGCATTGACAGAATCCGATAATTTTCAAATTATTGGTTCATTTGATGTTTTCAAACACAAAGACGCTGTTACTAAACCCCATTATCTGAAGTGTGTCCCTTCCAGGCTTTGCCATCCCAGCCATGTTCAGACCAGACAGCCCGCACCCACCATCTAGCCACAAACCACGTATAAATTAAAAGAACACTTCATTGGTTTTGGAATGTCCCATCGTTAGAACATCAAACGCCCTCTATCGCACGTGACTTTCATACGGCTACTTTGCGGTGGAATCGTTCTGTATAAGCAGCCACCTGGATCCAACAACAGGGAAGATGTTGAAGCTGCTCTGACCAATGAGTGCTGAGTTGTGTTTGCCCTCCTCACACGACCAGTGCCCCCTTCATCAGCACGGTGTCATTAGTTTAGATGACTGTACATGGTTATTTGTTTCTTTGTTGTTAAAAGCCGCACTCAGCAATTGTCCAGCTTTATTGCGGAGGTCTGTAAATTATCGAGTCTGAACCAGACAACCCAGTGATTGATATCATGATCTACTCAACTGGGATTTGATGACATACATCAACCAAGTCAGCGAGCCTGACGACCCGATCCCGTAAGTTGCCTCTTACAAGCATTGGTTACTGAAAGCCAATTCTAACCACATGCCCTCGTGTCTTTGCGAGGATTAAAGATGTTAAAACAAATAAAACATTTGAGATGACCCCCGACTCGAAATGCTACACAGTACTATACATAATGTATTGTACTGTGTAGCATTTCGAGTCGGGGGTCATCTCAAAAAAGAATTTTTAAATCTTTAATCTTTGCAAAGACACGAGGGCCTGTGATTGTAACCCGGATCTTCACGGGTGGACTGAAAATGAGCAACATCAACTTAATACGGTCACGGGTGACGGAGGAACGTTGTTTGTACACATCCATAAAGCACTGACTATAGGGATGCTCAGGAACCGGAAGTCCTTTATGATTTGTCACTTCTTTCGTTCTCATAACGGATCTGATGTTCTTGTGTCGATGGAAGGAACATACGTATTGAACAACCGGGCGTCACACTTAAAGGTTGGTTTGAGCAAAACATCCCAGTTTTCAAAACGTTACTTGGGGTGAAAACAGTTTGTCGTACCACTGCAAACTATACAGCACTATGATACGTGTATGAAATACTTCACTTTTGAATAACCATTTCTTGGTTGTTTCATTTTTAGCAAATATCAAACACGGAGGTGTACTCTCTTTTGACCGGAAGTGTACTTTCCTGAGACGATTTACATGCTTTTGTAACGCAGATGAGTCTGGAGGAAATCCACCATAATTCTAAAGCACACCTGAATATAACTGCCAGAAATCGTCCTACATGTTTGCCAAACGGATACTGTTATGACAGGACTCATCAATGGTATCATGCGTATTGTTGAAGATTCTTACCTGGTTCAGGACAGTACGTAGTTCCCCACGAAGATGGCACGACGGTCACCTGAATGTATTCCTGTGATACTAGTTTTTTTTGCCTCACGGAGACCAACCAGATTCTTTCGGATAACTGTCACACCTATTGGTTAATTTTTCGTTTCACATCTACAGAACTCCTTTCGAACGACATCGGACACGTTTCCCCCAGTTGGACGACAGAAACTACGCCTATGGCTGAGCAAGATACAAGTAAGAATTTCCTTTATAATATCTCTCAATAATCTGGACATTATCACCCGTATTAAATTATATCATTATATATCAAACACAATTGGGGATGGCAATACTTTTTAGTCAGTTATTGCGCTTAATCTGAAAGCAGTAACATAATGTGTTTGTGACTTGAGTTTGTATTTACGCTTGTCTATTCAAGGCACTGATACCCCGAGAGTGGGTTTGTTTGGCATGTTGGACCTCATCCCCACTCAACCAGACAGCCTGCCACAATCAGGTAAGCCTGGTAATGTCTCAGGTATTGTGATGAGTCATGTTTGGAATTACTATGCTTCCAACTAAAGCATATGTCTCGTTCATCAGTAGAACGTAAGACGAGCTATCAAAACCAGTAATGTCTTGTCAACGTTCTGATTAAACATGCACGACAAGCCCCTATTGAAGGAACCACCGTCATTTCAACTATGAGAACGAAATGATCCATTGCTGATGAAGCAGCTATGAGAACGAAATGATCCATTGCCGATGAAGCAGCTATGAGAACGAAACGATCCACTGTTGAAGCAACAGCTATTGGAACGAAATGATCCACTGTTGAAGAAGCAGCTATGAGAACGAAATGATCCAATGTTAAAGGAACCGTGTCATTTCAGCTATTAGAACGAAGTGACCACCCTTGTTGACATTCACTCAAGCTTTGAACATTCACATGCATAACTGCCGTCTTTGGAGAGGACATCTTGGTTACTTGCATGTGCCTTTTGACGTCACCAAACTAGGGTTCACTGATTATTTTACGTCACAACTATATGGTTCATTGATCGTTTTATGGTTCCTTGATGATTCACTCACTCACTCACCTTAGTGTGTTTATAATGTCTGGGTTTTTCCGTTTCATTTTACAGCCCCTTCAAACGACAGCGGAAACGTATCATTCAGCGTGACACCATTGTCAACAACTGAAACGACCACTATGACTGAGCTAGTCACAGGTGACGCTTTCCAAGTCTGCATTGCTTATTGTTTAATTATTCTCGTATGTAATTTAGTGTTGAACAAAAGCAAGTAAAATCGGGGTAGGAAAATTGAACTGAATGGAAATATTGTACAATCTGCCCCAAGAAATAGATTTATTAATTTCAAGCAAATACTTCCCTTTGCTTCCAACTATACTATGCTATCAGCTACTTTATTTGGGATAAGGTAAGTTGATTTCTTTTGAAACATAGGCGACTGGTTAAAGCGTTCGCTCTTCACGCCGAAGGCCCGGGTTCGATTCTCTATATGTGTACAATGTGTGAAGCCCATTTGTGGTGTCCCCTGCTGCGACATTCCTGGAATTTTGTTGAAAGCGTCGTAACATATTCAGCTCCAAAATAGTGTAAATTGCAAACTAAACCAAATAATAAAGTATATGTCAGTCGTCTTAACATTTTAAAATAAATTCTAACACAGCATCGTTGCATTACTTCCACAGAACACTCTATCAGAACTGAAACAAGAACAGTGTCTCAAAAGTCTTCAAGTGTCTTTTGCTGCATATCATCCATATTGATTATATTTCACGAGACAAGAGAGGCCAATTGAGTTGCCCCCCTTAGAATTGACAGGATCCGATAATTTTCAAATTATTGGTTCATTTGTTGTTTTCGAACGCAAAGACATAAATTATATGATTATATATGAAACAAAATTGTGGATGGTCATACTTTTAGTCAGTTATTGCCCTCAATCTGAATTTTAACAACGAGTCCTTCAGTTTTCAATAACATAAAAAAACTATATATACCATCTTTTGACCTTCACTTACATTAAGTTTGTGACTTAAGTTTGTGTTTATATGCTTGTCTATTCCAGGCACTGATACCCCGAGAGTGGGTTTGTTTGACATGTTGGACCTCATCCCCGCTCAACCAGACAGCCTGCCACAATCAGGTAAGCCTGGCAATGTCTCAGGTATTGTGATGAGTCATGTTTGGAATTACTATGCTTCCAACTAAAGCATATGTCTCGTTCATCAGCAGAACGTAAGACGAGCTATCAAAACCAATAATGTCTTGTCAGCGTTCTGATTAAACATGCACCACAAGCCCCTTTTTAAGGAACCACCGTCATTTCAACTATGAGAACGAAATGATCCACAGTTGAAAAAGCAGCTATGAGAACAAAATGATCCATTGCCGATGAAGCAGCTATGAGAACGAAATGGTCCATTGTTGAAGAAGCAGCTATGAGAAGGAAATGATCCACTGTTGAAGAAACAGCTATGAGAAGGAAATGATCCACTGTTGAAGAAACAGCTATTGGAACGAAATGATCCACTGTTGAAGCAACAGCTATTGGAACGAAATGATCCACTGTTGAAGAAGCAGCTATGGCAACGAAATGATCCACTGTTGAAGAAGCAGCTATGAGAACGAAATGATCCAATGTTAAAGGAACCGTGTCATTTCAGCTATTAGAACGAAATGACCAGCCTTGTTGACATTCACTCAAGCTTTGAACATTCACATGCATAACTGCCGTCTTTGGAGAGGACATCTTGGTTACTTGCATGTGCCTTTTGACGTCACCAAACTAGGGTTCACTGATTATTTTACGTCACAACTATATGGTTCATTGATCGTTTTATGGTTCCTTGATGATTCACTCACTCACTCACCTTAGTGTGTTTATAATGTCTGGGTTTTTCCGTTTCATTTTACAGCCCCTTCAAACGACAGCGGAAACGTATCATTCAGCGTGACACCATTGTCAACAACTGAAACGACCACTATGACTGAGCTAGTCACAGGTGACGCTTTCCAAGTCTGCATTGCTTATTGTTTAATTATTCTCGTATGTAATTTAGTGTTGAACAAAAGCAAGTAAAATCGGGGTAGGAAAATTGAACTGAATGGAAATATTGTACAATCTGCCCCAAGAAATAGATTTATTAATTTCAAGCAAATACTTCCCTTTGCTTCCAACTATACTATGCTATCAGCTACTTTATTTGGGATAAGGTAAGTTGATTTCTTTTGAAACATAGGCGACTGGTTAAAGCGTTCGCTCTTCACGCCGAAGACCCGGGTTCGATTCCCTATATGTGTACAATGTGTGAAGCCCATTTGTGGTGTCCCCTGCTGCGACATTCCTGGAATTTTGTTGAAAGCGTCGTAACATATTCAGCTCCAAAATAGTGTAAATTGCAAACTAAACCAAATAATAAAGTATATGTCAGTCGTCTTAACATTTTAAAATAAATTCTAACACAGCATCGTGCATTACTTCCACAGAACACTCTATCAGAACTGAAACAAGAACAGTGTCTCAAAAGTCTTCAAGTGTCTTTTGCTGCATATCATCCATATTGATTATATTTCACGAGACAAGAGAGGCCAATTGAGTTGCCCCCCTTAGCATTGACAGGATCCGATAATTTTCAAATTATTGGTTCATTTGTTGTTTTCGAACGCAAAGACATAAATTATATGATTATATATGAAACAAAATTGTGGATGGTCATACTTTTAGTCAGTTATTGCCCTCAATCTGAATTTTAACAACGAGTCCTTCAGTTTTCAATAACATAAAAAAACTATATATACTATCTTTTGACCTTCACTTACATTAAGTTTGTGACTTAAGTTTGTGTTTATATGCTTGTCTATTCCAGGCACTGATACCCCGAGAGTGGGTTTGTTTGACATGTTGGACCTCATCCCTGCTCAACCAGACAGCCTGCCACAATCAGGTAAGCCTGGCAATGTCTCAGGTATTGTGATGAGTCATGTTTGGAATTACTATGCTTCCAACTAAAGCATATGTCTCGTTCATCAGCAGAACGTAAGACGAGCTATCAAAACCAATAATGTCTTGTCAGCGTTCTGATTAAACATGCACCACAAGCCCCTTTTTAAGGAACCACCGTCATTTCAACTATGAGAACGAAATGATCCACAGTTGAAAAAAGCAGCTATGAGAACAAAATGATCCATTGCCGATGAAGCAGCTATGAGAACGAAATGGTCCATTGTTGAAGAAGCAGCTATGAGAAGGAAATGATCCACTGTTGAAGAAACAGCTATGAGAAGGAAATGATCCACTGTTGAAGAAACAGCTATTGGAACGAAATGATCCACTGTTGAAGCAACAGCTATTGGAACGAAATGATCCACTGTTGAAGAAGCAGCTATGGCAACGAAATGATCCACTGTTGAAGAAGCAGCTATGAGAACGAAATGATCCAATGTTAAAGGAACCGTGTCATTTCAGCTATTAGAACGAAATGACCAGCCTTGTTGACATTCACTCAAGCTTTGAACATTCACATGCATAACTGCCGTCTTTGGAGAGGACATCTTGGTTACTTGCATGTGCCTTTTGACGTCACCAAACTAGGGTTCACTGATTATTTTACGTCACAACTATATGGTTCATTGATCGTTTTATGGTTCCTTGATGATTCACTCACTCACTCACCTTAGTGTGTTTATAATGTCTGGGTTTTTCCGTTTCATTTTACAGCCCCTTCAAACGACAGCGGAAACGTATCATTCAGCGTGACACCATTGTCAACAACTGAAACGACCACTATGACTGAGCTAGTCACAGGTGACGCTTTCCAAGTCTGCATTGCTTATTGTTTAATTATTCTCGTATGTAATTTAGTGTTGAACAAAAGCAAGTAAAATCGGGGTAGGAAAATTGAACTGAATGGAAATATTGTACAATCTGCCCCAAGAAATAGATTTATTAATTTCAAGCAAATACTTCCCTTTGCTTCCAACTATACTATGCTATCAGCTACTTTATTTGGGATAAGGTAAGTTGATTTCTTTTGAAACATAGGCGACTGGTTAAAGCGTTCGCACTTCACGCCGAAGACCGGGTTCGATTCCCTATATGTGTACAATGTGTGAAGCCCATTTGTGGTGTCCCCTGCTGCGACATTCCTGGAATTTTGTTGAAAGCGTCGTAACATATTCAGCTCCAAAATAGTGTAAATTGCAAACTAAACCAAATAATAAAGAGTATATGTCAGTCGTCTTAACATTTTAAAATAAATTCTAACACAGCATCGTGCATTACTTCCACAGAACACTCTATCAGAACTGAAACAAGAACAGTGTCTCAAAAGTCTTCAAGTGTCTTTTGCTGCATATCATCCATATTGATTATATTTCACGAGACAAGAGAGGCCAATTGAGTTGCCCCTTAGCATTGACAGGATCCGATAATTTTCAAATTATTGGTTCATTTGTTGTTTTCGAACGCAAAGACATAAATTATATGATTATATATATGAAACAAAAATTGTGGATGGTCATACTTTTAGTCAGTTATTGCCCTCAATCTGAATTTTAACAACGAGTCCTTCAGTTTTCAATAACATAAAAAAACTATATATACCATCTTTTGACCTTCACTTACATTAAGTTTGTGACTTAAGTTTGTGTTTATATGCTTGTCTATTCCAGGCACTGATACCCCGAGAGTGGGTTTGTTTGACATGTTGGACCTCATCCCGCTCAACCAGACAGCCTGCCACAATCAGGTAAGCCTGGCAATGTCTCAGGTATTGTGATGAGTCATGTTTGGAATTACTATGCTTCCAACTAAAGCATATGTCTCGTTCATCAGCAGAACGTAAGACGAGCTATCAAAACCAATAATGTCTTGTCAGCGTTCTGATTAAACATGCACCACAAGCCCCTTTTTAAGGAACCACCGTCATTTCAACTATGAGAACGAAATGATCCACAGTTGAAAAAGCAGCTATGAGAACAAAATGATCCATTGCCGATGAAGCAGCTATGAGAACGAAATGGTCCATTGTTGAAGAAGCAGCTATGAGAAGGAAATGATCCACTGTTGAAGAAACAGCTATTGGAACGAAATGATCCACTGTTGAAGCAACAGCTATTGGAACGAAATGATCCACTGTTGAAGAAGCGGCTATGGCAACGAATTGATCCACTGTTGAAGAAGCAGCTATGAGAACGAAATGATCCAATGTTAAAGGAACCGTGTCATTTCAGCTATTAGAACGAAATGACCAGCCTTGTTGACATTCACTCAAGCTTTGGACATTGCACATGCATAACTGCCGTCTTTGGAAGGACATCTTGGTTACTTGCATGTGCCTTTTGACGTCACCAAACTAGGGTTCACTGATTATTTTACGTCACAACTATATGGTTCCTTGATCGTTTTATGGTTCCTTGATGTTTTACGTCATTGATCGGGTACAACGTAGGGATGTCATTTCTTTACTCATCGTGTCTGATTAGATTTTGGGGCTTCCTTAAATATTGTCTATTTTGTTCATGACTGAGTATACAAATGAGTCAAACTTACTGTAAACCTACCTGAATAAGTAACAAAATGTCAGAATAGTAAGAATGCTATCCTTGATTCCCATGATACATTCAGTGGAGGTTAAAAGAACTCCCGGCTAACTGATTAATTACACGGAACAATACAGGTCCCTTAATTTCGACGTGTCCAGGGTCTAAACACGTTTACGTCTGTGTTTAACATCAACATGTTTAGTGTCTAAATGTGAAAAAAATACTCTTAACCCCTAAGTGTGTTACCCGTGAAGGTCCGGGTAAGAGTTGATCTTCAGTAACCCATGCTTGTCGAAGGAGGCGACTAACGGGATCGGGTGGTCAGGCTCGCTGACTTGGTTGACCCATGTCATCGGTTCCCAATTGCATAGATCGATGCTCATTCTGTTGATTACTGGATTGTCTGGTCCAGACTCGATTATTTACAGACCGCCGCCATATAGCTGGAATATTGTTGAGTGCAGCGTGAAACTAAACTCACTCACTCACCTTAGTGTGTTTATAACTTCTGGGGTTTTCCGTTTCATTTTACAGCCCCTTCAAACGACAGCGGAAACGTATCATTCAGCGTGACACCATTGTCAACAACTGAAACGACCACTATGACTGAGCTAGTCACAGGTGACGCTTTCCAAGTCTGCATTGCTTATTGTTTAATTATTCTCGTATGTAATTTAGTGTTGAACAAAAGCAAGTAAAATCGGGGTAGGAAAATTGAACTGAATGGAAATATTGTACAATCTGCCTCCAGAAATAGGTTTATTGATTTCAAGCAAATACTTCCCTTTGCTTCAACTACACGGGTAACAGGCTTTCAGTTACTTTATTTGGGATAAGATAAGTTGATTTCTTTTGGAACATGGGCGACTGGTTAAAGCGTTCGCTGGTCATGCTAAAGGTCCGGGTTCGATTCCCTATATGTGTACAATATGTGAAGTCAATTATCATTATTTAAAATTATCTTGGATTTCCTCCAGACTCATCTGCGTTGCAAAAAGCATGTAAATCGTCTCAGGAAAGTACACTTCCGGACAAAAGAGAGTACACACCCTTCTTTAACATTGGCTAAAAATGAAACCATTATTTCAAGAATATCGTAAAAAGCGTCGTAAAATATTCAGCTTCAAATGTTTTATGACGGAATGCATAAATGGGTGAAGGCAACTGATTGGGATATAGGGTGTCACACACACTGGACAGTTGACATGTAAGGATCATATATTTCTTCTGCATCGAGTCGTGTTATGCTTGAATATTTCAGACTCTGACAGCCCAAAGAAAGTAGGTTTGTTCCAAATCCTGTTACCTCCAGCAGACAACTCGTCACAATCTGATGACTCAGAGAGAGTTGGAGGTATGATAAAGAGAAACGATGATTTTTATCTTTTATGTAACGATTTTCTTATTCAAACATCTGAGGAATATGCCTAATATATTTATCATTACAAATAGT